GCATCGATACAAAATGATTATTATTTACACCCTTACTCAGAGGTGTACAGAGTAAAAATGAATGGTGAGTATTGCCCTCTGTGCTGCTAACTGCCTGGTTAGACAGTATTATTTTACTATTTTCTACATTATTAGAAAACTGAAATAAAAAAATCTACTTAAGGATATTTGTAAGTTTTAGCATTTTTACCACTAAAACCCTTCATCAAGTGAATGAAAATCTTACTAAGCAGCCAAATCTAACAAGTTTCAGAATTTGCACAGATGGCGAAACGATATAAAGCATATAGCTTTCAAAGCAGTAGTATGTATTTTTTTTTATATATATTTTTATTTTAAGCATTGTGTAATTCTAGCTAAAAGAAAATTAAAGATTGCATAAAAGATATTTAGAAAAAACTCACAATCCGGGGTCCTTTGTTGTTTTCACGGTACTTCTCCAACATGAAACAATATACAGCAAGGGCTGCCATGGAGTAGAGGAAGGAGAAGACCCCGATCGTTACAAAGAACTCGGCTGAGGAGGAGTAGTCTCCGACTAGGAACAGACGGTCCTTGCTCCCTCCCTTACAGGTGGGCGCATCAAAGTAAACCTGATGGAGCCTGAGGACGACATTGCACAAAGACAAAGAGCGATGTGAAGGAATAAAAGAAGAGCTGAGATTAACAGACAATAGAATATTTTTGTATAAGATGACAGTGATCTGTCAAAACAACCCCTTAAATTAATAAATAAATTAAAAAAATTTTAATTAACTATACATAAAAAAAAAGGCACTGGCCTATAATTAGCAACTCTTAAATGACCAGAGTCCATGATTCTGCGGTTAAAAGAGAGCTTTAATTTTAACAAAGCCTTCACTCACATGGAAAGATATGTGGTTTCTTCATTCAACAGTTGAATCGGATCGGTATCCAATATCAGCTGATATGTTCAACACAGATATTGGTATCAGATTGGATCAGAAAAAAAATGGATCTGTGTATCTGTAGTCATAACCTCTGTTAAATAATTACCAGGGTTCCTAACAAACCTTTTACATTCCCACAGTTATACTTTTCAAGATTTTAAATTCTAGATTTTTTTGACAGTTCTGATCTCTAAAAACCAAAAAATACTCAAACAAATGAAAAACGAATAAAATATTGAATATTTCAAGAAACAGCAGAGGAATCAAGGGCTTATTTACCACTGTTTGACATCTACAGCATATTAAATAGGCTATTTTTCAACACTGAAACAAAAATCTTTATATTGAGAACGATTAATGATAAAATACTTAATGTATGTAAAAAAGAAAATGAATGTTAGTACTGTAAATATACAGTCATATGTTTATATTACTATTTTTTATCTATTTATTACTGTTTTCAAGGATGCAGTTTAAAAAATGAAATTGTCTAGAGCTGTTTTAAACAAAATGTCTTTTTGTATACACTAGTGTTCACAAAAAGACAAAATAAATCTGTATAAGTCGAAGTATATCCAGAGGTGTCAAGTAATAAAGTACAAATACTTTGTTACCTAACTTAATTAGAGATTTTGGCTATCTATACTTTACTGGAGTAATTATTTTTAGACAACTTCTTATTTCTACCTATTACATTTTTATTTATTTTTATTTTTTTTACAATCATCTCTAATTTCTACTCCTTAAATTTTAAAAATTAACTTGTTAGTTTTGTTTCATTTAAGCTCATTTTCGTTATGGCCTGTTGGTATTTAAAAAAAAACCAAACTTTTATTTATTTTATTTAGACAATGAATTGCTTTGTGGTTGGTGCTGCACCAACATGTTCTTGTTCAAATGAAAATAAACAGTTTTTCAAGATGATGCAAAGTTAAATCTGACACTACAACCATTAGTTATAAAAGTAATAAAATTGGGTATAACAAAGTTATGATCCAGAATTGTACAAAAATATTCCTTTAATAGACTAGTGCAGTAAAGCATCTAACCTTAACATTTCTTCCTGCATTACTTTATACTTTTAGTTGTTTTAAAAATGGTATTTTTTACACTTTTACATAAATAAAAAGCTTAAATTGATACTCTAACTTCTACAAGTGTTTTTAAACAGTAGAATTTATGCTTCTACTTGATAAGCAATAATAAGCATTATTATTATATATTATATATATATATATATATATATATATATATATATATATATATATATATATATATATAGATATATGTATGGTTTAAATTTCCCCCTCATTATTCAGATTAGAAAATTATCTACTCTTCTGTTAGATTTTAGGGATTGGTCAACTGTTGGAAAAAACTAAAATTATGTCGTATAAAAGCTAATGTTGCATAATTCTGCAAAGCTGATATTTTTAGCTCCTACATAAAGGGACTGATAAATGTTAGAAAGGATTTAGAGAAGGTGCTTCGATGTGCATTATTATCGTATCATTGTTTCCTCTTTCTCATCTGAAGAAGGTGCTAGTCACAAGGTTTCACCTTTTTTATGAATTGAAAAGTCATTTTTCTGTTAAATGAAATAGTTTAAATAATATGAGTCAGGGCACCTAAAAAAAAAAAAGCTTAACATCATTCAATGTAGTGAGTGTATATTTTAATAGCCACGAGTCTCTCTAACTTTTTACAGACAGTTTTGACATTAATTATTTTCTTATTTAGTTCTAATTGAAGTCCTTTAAAAGTGTATGAAAATATTTTCAGCTGTCAAACTGTTCATTTTCCCTTATTGTGTGAAAAACTGATATAACTAGTAATCTAAGAAAGATACATAGTTTAATTTAATGTTTAATTGATTAAAGATATATTTCTAATTTTCTATTCTAAAGATATTCACATAGCACTTATATAACAGTGCTTATATAAGTGATTGTAACAGTGATTAAGTAATAATCTGAATGATTATATGCAACTATGATGAGATAACAAAATTAACCAGAAATTGGGATAAAAACATCAACAATGTAACTTAAAACCTCCCCCAGGTCATTTATTTTAATGCAGAATAGCAACATTCACCACAGAAGCAACTCCAGAAATACCTGAATGGATATTCGAATTCTACTTCTATGCCAAGGTCACTCTCTGATCGGTTTTTACACTCCACACTAAACTTGAGCATGCCAGAGTAGCTGCCACATGTGGAGAAGGCGAAGATCGCAAAGATCTGGGGGGGAAAACAGAAACAGAGAAACATTTTTATACATTTCACTTACAAAGTGGAAAAACAATTAAAGCACTTCTTTATTTTCCTTTATATTTTAACCTGCAAAATGAGTTTAGCTATTTCACTGGACCCATACTCAGACTTATATGAGGGCGACAAAACCGGACTTATTTGAATTGCACGTTCTCTGCCAAAAACTTAAAAATGAAAATAAATTTATTGGGATTTCATGTCATAGACCCCAATATAACAATAAAACTGGGATGTGGAGGGATATTTGTGCTCAACCCCTCCAATCTAATGCATCTAACTAAAATCCAGAGTCACCAAATATCTTCATATGTTTAGGATTTATTCTTGGTATAAATCCACCTGCTCTTTAAAGACCTCAGATCTTTGTTAGAGAGAAACAAAAATGTCAATGAAGTAAGAAAGTAAGAGTATGGCTGCAAACCCACTAGGATTTGGCTGTCCACCTAAAATTATAGGAAAGGCAAGAGGAGCGTTAGTCAGAGGAGCAGCCAAGGGGCCCAATGTGGATCTCAGGTGAGACGATTTCTTGACAGGACAACAATAAGTTGTGAACTTTGTAAAAAAAATGTTTAACTGTCAAATAAAAGAGCATTGAAAGTAAGACTTGCAGTTTCATCACAATAACAAAATAAAACTCTCTGGACTCCATATGAAGCGCTGCATGTGTATGTGTCTAAAATGACTGACTATACATCCGCCTGTTCTCATAATGAAACACGTTGGTGGGGGGATCATGCTGAGGGGTATTTTTTTTCTTCAATAGTTCAAGAGTTGATGGGAAGAAAAATTGAGTTATATATAAGGCAAACGCAGGAGACTGGGTCAGACGTTTACCTTCCAGCAGAAATAATAGAAATATTTGAATCCTATACCTTGGAAGAAACAGCTTAGCTGAACTCCAAGCACAGAATCTTAGAGAACTTTAAATACATTCACCAGGAGTAAAGATGATTGTAGGGGATGTTTAATGCTGCTGTTTTGTTCATTTTGGCTCCTGTTGCAGATCCCTGCCTGCAGTATCTCTAACAGACTGGCCAGCATCCTCCAGTCCCTCTGAGCTGCTAATAAATTCTTACCAAGTGTAAATCAATGCACCAACAAACAACACAGCACAGACTGTGCCTGTTGCCATGGTTATTGGTGAAAATTAACATTTTTGCCTAGCTGCTTTTTAGTCCCTGGTGATTTTTCTCCTAAAGCTGTCCATTAATTGCTTCGGTACAACAAGTACAGTCCAATAAACGGCACAAACACACACTGGCTCTCTCACCTACAGCAGATTAGAAGAGTCAGACTATTTTTACCACACCCTCCCAGCACTGCGGGCCAGATCCGATTGGACAGACAATCCAGCTATTAATCTGGCTGAGGTGCCTTACCATCTGTCACCGGATACCCAACTATAGGCTAGTGTAAGGAAACACACACATCCACACATCACACGTCACTTCCTTCTTAACTCCAGGCATCATAGTACAGTCTACCTGCTCCAGGCATCAACAAAAGCATAAAGCATATAAATTAACTATACTATTAACTAAATGCTTGTAAATTGAGGTAAGTAGCTTTTTTCCTGTAGCTGCATTCTGATTTATTAAGATCAAATCACAAATGCCATACCTAAGGAGCATGTTTTCCTATTTTTGTTTTCTGGGTTGATTAAAAAAGATTCAAATCTGATGTGTGTCAAACTTATTCAACAGATCATTTAATATATTTGATAAAAAGTTACTCGACTCTGATTAACTCACAAAGGAATCAAAAGTACACTCTTTACTCAACTAAATGTACAGATACCTATGTACTGAAAAGAAAAAAATCTGGTAAAAGTATAGATTGACCTCCTTTGCTTAAGTAAAGATAAAAAGTGAAGGTCTAGATTGATTTTTGCCTTAAAAAGACTTAAAAGATGAAAAATAACTTTTAATGACTATATTCAAAAATAGTTCTGTGCACAGAAATAGCTAAATTGTCTTGTTTTCTCACTGTACTGAACAAAAACAAGATAAAAACTGACTCAGTCTAGTCTTGTTCTAAATTTCAGACAGGACAACACATAGAATTAAACCGAAGTCTTGAATGAGATGTTAAATATGTGCCGTTTTCACAGCATTAAACTTCCTGCCTTCATCCATGTCGCTATTTCTATAAATAATACGTGCTGCTTTTGGACAGATTCCCTTAGTGCTCTTGATTTTCTCTCTTTATGCAGCTTTTATATCATGTAATTTTCAATATGTGCACAAGTAGTGAACAAGTATGCAGAAAGCACTGAGTAGAAATTACATATATTTGTGTTCAAATGTAGGAAGTAAAAGGAAGAAGTCCTGAGAAAGAAAAACTCAATAAAAGAACCTTGTGTACAGTATGCATCAAAAATAATATCTTAATTTCATTTCTTTTTCGGATCTGTTAGTGGTGCCAAAGTCTGTCAATTTCTAATGTAGGATTTGTTTCTCCACTGAAATAATGAACCCAAATTTAGGTTGAATTTCTCAAACATTTTTCTATATAAGATAAACAGCTCTTCACTAATATTTTACATTCCAGATATAAGAAATTTTGACTAATTAGAAACTAATAAATCATTTATATTGCTCAAAGATCCTCAGGTTGTGTCAAACTTCAATAAAATAAAAATAGAAAAATAAATAGGCCAAACATTTCCCCTAAATCTTAACAACATATAATTATTTCTTAACTTTTCCTTTTTGCAAGTTTGCAAGAAGGTATATTTTAAAGCCAAGTACAGTCAGCATTTTATACCTCCGTATTTACAGGGTAACATATGCATGCTGCTATATTTCATTTTTGCAGAGGAAAAGACCTAAAGTGTTGCAATCCATCACAATAAAAAACCCTATAACTGCACCAAAATCAAAAAGAAAACATGTTTTGCATGTTAGAAAGTGTGAGGGAACACAATTATATAGAAATACTCATTACACCTCTGTCCAAACCAAACCAGTCAGCTCTGTTAAATCTTAACTTCGCTAAACAAGAAGCACAGAAACTGCTCATAGTAATTCAGCAGAGCAGTATCCATTTTCCCCTCTTGTGTAAAGGGGGGTTGGACAGCTGAGGAATTATAGGGCGGGAAAAAATAGTGGGGAAAAAAACAGAGAGTGCCATGGTAACACAACTGACAGCGTCCCTGAAAGAAAGCGAGGTGGTTTCTGCTCCTTCTGGTATGCTGGAGGGCTGTCAGCTCTTCACTCTCTGACACAAACTGTCAGCCACTGCTGTTCCCACACTGCGTCAATTTATCCCTGTCTCTGTAAAATGGCTGAAAACACAAAATAGTGGTAGTCATTCCAAAGTTAAAAAAACAACAAAAAAACAATCCACTGGGCTTTGTTTCCAAGTTTGAAGATGTTTCGCTTCCCATCCAGGAAGCTTTTTAAAAAAACAAATATTGAAAAAGATTCCTGAATGGTACGGAAGAGGATTAGGGCAACTGATAAAAAAAAAAAAAGTGAACTGTTTTTTTTTTTATTTTATTTCAGTATAGTATGGGAAAAATGTCAGAATTCTGACTTTTTTATTGTCAGAATTCTGACTTTTTTATTATCAGAA